AGTAACAAATCAAAAAATTTCCCGATAACCTAGAAGTCTCCGGCAATGCCGCTGAAAAATTGACTCGCGCTAACTACACAATCCTAGTCGTAAGCCAAGCATAACCAACGAGCGGTGTAGCATAGGGTAGTAACTTAATACAATTATCGGATCCAAGGGTTTCTATATGTATTGTTACTTCACTATGGTTGGTTATCTAGCCAAACAGGAATAGTGACTAAAAAGAAAACTAAGGTAAATACAATATATTAGTCAGAACTATAAAGAAGCGGGAAATTATAGGCACAAATATCATAATACAAATTATTAGCCATAAGTCCATAACTATTGTTGCGGGTCAAAATATGGCTAATAGACAGTTAACACTAACGGTTTGTTGGACATCTAAACGACACATAAGCACTAGCTCAATTATAATTTTTATTATTTTTCTTTATGATTTTAAAAACAAAAGAGAAGCTCCTCCTCTGTTCGACCAGACCCAAAGTCGACGGCGGCCGAGGGAGGAGGGGGGGGGGGGGGGGGGGGGGGGGAAGGAGGAGGGTATCTGCCACCCCCACCACCAATCTTATCGCTTTAACCCAACCAATTAGAGCTGTCAAAATTGAACCCGATCCCACTCGACTAACCCGCTCAACCCACCCGACCCACAACCCGTTCGTAATCCGATTTGACAACAAGTCAACCACCCGAAACCCGGCCGTAACCCGAAACCAATTGACCCGTAATCCGATCAACCCATAACTTGATGAACTCGTTATCCTATAAAACCCATAACCCAAATAACCCGTAAGCAAACCAAACCCAACTCGAATAACCCGAATAACCCATTTGACCCGAATGCTTGTACACAAATTCAATGTATACATTATTATATTTTTAAATTTACCAAGAAAGAACTGGTGTTCTCATAATAATTGAATATTATTTGTAGAATTGATGGAAATTGAGGTTTTTTCTTAAATATTTAATTTTTAAAATAATAATATGTGAAATATCTTTCATTCATTTTTTATTTTATGAAATTCAAATAATAAATTTTTGAAGATAATAGGAAGAGTTAGACACAAATTCATATCTCCACCGCCCATAACTATATTAAAAAAATCAACCCTTGAAAATCAATGAAATCCCCAAAATCAATGAAATCAATGATCCCTAGCAAGATATATAAGTGGATACTTTACCCTTTTTACTTCATTCTCAACTTTTTACTGATTTTATTTATTTATAATAAATTAATAAATCAGTGATTCGAACTATATGATAATATCATATTTGAGCGAACCGTTGTTCGACCCATGAGTTTTAGGATGAGATTTTACCGTGAATATAAAAAAAAATTATGAAGATATATAAGTATGTGATTCGGAATGATGTTCATAAGTCTTCGTGGAAATGAAGAACACACATCTAGTTCATACTATATTTAATTAAGAGGATTCATTTCGAGATGTATAAGCATATAGCCTACCTTTTTTTTACTTCATTTTCAAATTTTTACTGATTCAATTTTTTTATAAATTAATAAAATAAGTGAAATTACAATCTCTCATACTCTCACCATAAACAAAAAAAATTATAACCAACAACAAATCTTTTATATACACTATTTTATTTATATTTAGTTTTTATACTAACATAATGGATGTTTCATTTGTATGTATAAAATATTATCATTTTCTTAAATTTTGTATCATTACCTATAATTTATATTCATATATTGATAGTTTTTAAAACAGTATTTTCCGTTAAGAAGTAAATGATTCAATGTGTTGACCCGAATAACCCGTAATCCGACCTGACCGAACCCGAATGAACCCGCAATCCAATAAACCCGTAATTTGATGCACCTGTAACCCAACCCGATCTATAACCCAATTGACTAGTGACCTGATTGATTTGTAACCCAATTGACCTGCAACACAATTAAACCCGATTCAAATTGAAACCGACCCGATTGAACTCGAAACCAGATTGAACCCAACCTGGACCCAATCCAAACCCGACCCAACCCGCCCAATTGACACCTCTACAACCAATCCTTCTCTTTGATCTTCGGCGAAATGATTTTTTCTGCGGAGTCCGCTCCGATGGCTATGTTTTGGGTCCCCGCAAAATTTTCTCGGCGTCCCCAAAACTCCATTGATGGCGAGGCAGTGATGGTGGTTAGGAAACGTACCAGTATGTGACCGAACTAATTAACCCTGACGGCCTTGGACGAACACGGTGATGTCGCAGTCGATCTGGCAGAGCACCTCCAGCGCCGCGAATTTGGATATGAGGTCGAGGACCATGGAAGAGTAGTTGTCGTGGGAGAGGACGGCGTCGTTGATTCCTGATACAGTGGGGTTGTTTCTGTTGGGCGGGATCAGGCCAGGCAGCGGTGGTTGGGGGAGCTCGGAAGAGTGATCGGGGAATAGAAGGATGTCGCAGTTGATTTTGAATAAGATGGAGAACACTCCCAGGATTTGTGGATTGCCGAATTCGCCATCTTCGTGATGAGCCCCCAATTCATTTTGGGGAAAGTAAGATTATTGGGGAAATGAGAATTTTTTTTGTATTTTAAATAATTAATTAATAAATATGTTGTCTAGTTTTTTTTTTTTTTTTGACAAAAGATATCATATATTGATAGAAATAGATCGATCGTTACATCCTGGAATTCAGCCAGGTCTGAAAATCAAAATAACGACATGTATTCGGGAACAAAGAAAGGGCATGTCTAGCTACCATATGAGCTACCCTATTGCTACCCAGACCTACAAATCGTACACTGAAGCCCAGTTGCGTCCTAAACACCTGCACAATTTCCTCCAAAATTGCCCCTACTCGACTATCACGCACATCAGCCTGACAGATCTTATCAATGGCCACCTTGGCATCACCCTCAAATCGCATAGACACCACACCCCGAGCTACACACCAACGAATCGCTTCGCAAAGAGTAAGTAGCTCAGCCACCATGGGATCATCTAGCAGAGGGAACTGCATACCAGCAGCCCAGAGGGCCTCCCCCCTCTCATTAAGGATTACCATTCCTCCCGCAGAATGAGACCTTCGACGAACTGCCCCATCCCAACGACACACCGGCCCTCCTGCCCCACCTAAGTCCAATGAAGGATTGCTAGAAGGAGACAGGGAGGGAGGCCGAGGATCACTAGGCAAGCTAAGCCATTCATTAAGCTGTTGGTGATACTGCCTCATCAAAGCAGGGATCATAAATTGCTTTCCTTCGAAGACCACCCAATTCCGAGACCTCCAAATCCTCCACAGGACAGCAATTACTGCCATGAGCTGCGAGGGTTGATGTAAGAGAGCAATCAATTTCTTCAGGAAAAGGGGGAACGTATGACGGGGCAATCCTTCCCCAAGATGTTCTAATCCTGACTGAGCCCACAAGGCCCTGGCCACCGGGCAGTCAAGGAATAGGTGCTCCATTGTTTCCAAAGTAGCCCAACACACAGGACAATGGGGAAGGACAACTACTTTTCGGTCGATTAGCGCCTCAGTAGTAGGTAAAATTCTGTTTTAGATCTGCCAGGCAAATACCTTCAGCTTCGGCGGAATGTTAGCCTCCCATAAGTGGATCCAACTAGTCTTGTCCATCCAACTAGCCTGTGCCCGCCAACACCCATTTTGCTTATCCAGACGGACAGCCAAGTGATAAGCCGACTTGACAGAGAACAGACCATCCTCAGTTCCATGCCTAATCAGACGATCATCAATGTTCTGCCTTGGCAAGGGTATCACCTCAACATAACTTTTTGTCTATTTTGACTAGCTGATGTGGCATTTTTTGTTGACTGCCACATAATAAAATTTCTTCCACCTCAGCATAACTTTTGCCAGCTCACAATCATCTAACGGAATTGTTAACGGAGACTTAACGTTTGGCTGATAATTTATATTTAGATAGTTGTGGCTATAATTTCCCGTTGCTTAATAATTATGGCTAACATATTGTATTTACCAAAAAAACTAAGCTAACTAAACTACTCTAACCACTACTATAATTAATTACAATGTTGGAGCTCAATTAGGCATGAATCCCCCTAATTCTTTCATCTAATCGGTGTTGAGTACTACCCTAGATTGATAAACTCAATACTTCTAATGCGGAGAATCCTAGACATGATTGAACTCCCTCTTCGAGTTATCCAAACTCAATTGTTGTATCCGGATAGGTGGACCATACAACTGACCTTAGCCAATTGAGGTGTTCTCAACCAACTCCCAAGATTGGGCTAAATCCAATACAACACTATGGATCAAATCATACTCGTTCAAAAGACTTATAATGAAGGATTAAAGGTGCTCTATTGAACCTACAGAGATATTTTGTCTCCTAGATCAACCCGTGAACGTTGCACAGACTTCACTTTTTGGCTCGTTTTAACACAATCTACATAAAATTGACCGAGAAATGACTATCAGCAAATCAAACATTTTTTTATCGAATCATTATTTGTATTGTTGATATGGTGATACCTATATATATGTTTGCATTGGTATCAAATAATAATGATGATGCTTGAATTATTGTTTATTCGTGAATGAAAAATGCTTGGAGGTGGAGATGAAGCGGCAATGGCTTCCCATTTTCATTTATGAAGAAAAGATAATGTCAATTGCGAGGCTTTAGAGATGGTGGTGGTGTGGGGTTTTAATTTAATTTTGTTTTTATTTTTAATTTTTCCATAAAATATTAGGTATAATGTTGTTATTTTATATTGGTGATACCATAGTTGACCGAGTTTAACAATTTTTTAGTGAAAAATTTAACAAAAAGGCATGTTTGAGAAAATATATAGCAGAAAGACAATTTTGATGTAAAATATAGTACCTATAACCCATAAAAATACTTGAGAAAAATGTACAGTAGAGAGCTTGAGAAAAATATAGCAAAAAGGGTATGCTTGAGAAAAATGTACAGTATAGAGCCATATTATACCTATAACCCATAAAAATACTATAAATTTATTTTGAAAGTTATTCGATGACCAAAATAAACACACATTTAAATTTAAATGTCATTCACACACTGGATAATAATCAATATATATTCTTTCATTATTTTCAACTCATTCATTTGAGAAAAACATATCATACCCACTAAAGAAAAGCAAACAAATTATGTCATATTCTATTATCAAATTTCTAATTAAATCGGAGCACGAGAGTAACCCAACTGGCAATCCCGGAGCTCCCATCTCGCCTCTACTCCATCCCCCGCTCCTCCATATAAAGCCCACAAAACCAAACCCCTTTCACCACACAACCAAAGCAAATTAGAGAAAGGGAGAGGAAGAGAGGTCAGATCCGCCGGAGGGCAAGTCGAGAGAAAGAGAGAGGGCGGGCAAAGAAAAAGAGAGGAAAGGCAATTTCTTTTTTGTTGTTTTTGTTTTCGGGGACTCAAAGCTCCAAAAACAGAAACAATGGGAGGTTGGGCTATTGCAGTGCACGGTGGCGCTGGGGTGGACCCAAATCTCCCTCTTCAGCGACAGGAAGAGGCCAAACGCCTCCTCACTCGTTGCCTCAATCTCGGCATCTCTGCTCTCCGCTCTAATCTCCCCGCCATTGACGTCGTTGAACTCGTTGTATGTTTCTTACCCTGTTTCCGCCCTCCTTGTTCCTCGTTTATCTGGGTTCCTTCCTCACAACTGATCTCTAATTGATTCGCAATCTGGACAGAAAAAAAACAGACTAATTGATCGTTTTCCGATTGACTCCCCATCATAAAATGGAATTTTACTTTTTATAGTGCTCTGTTTTCTGCTCCAAAAAACAGAGCATTTTATCGTCGAACAAAAGATCCGGACTTTCGATTGCTTGCGCAGTGATTGCTTTCTGGCAATGAACCCATTATGATTTAGTGAATCGCCGATGATTTTGTGGTGTTGCAGGTTCGGGAACTGGAAAGCGATCCCCTGTTCAATTCCGGGCGAGGGTCTGCCCTAACGGAGAAAGGTACGGTGGAGATGGAAGCCAGCATCATGGACGGCACCAAGCGGAGGTGCGGTGCCGTTTCGGGCGTTACCACCGTAAAGAACCCAGTCTCACTCGCCCGCCTCGTCATGGACAAATCCCCTCATTCTTACCTCGCCTTCTCCGGCGCCGAGGACTTTGCCCGGCAACAGGTGACTCATTTTCCTGCTCTTCCTATCAGATCGAATTCCGAAAGGAATGAATCTCATTACCATAAAGGATCTTTCCCCCTTGTTTCTGTTCCAATATCACGTGCGATTTGTAGCAACAATTAATTAGTCAAGCAATTGATTAATGAATAAAATATGATCGCAGGGAGTTCAAATGGTGGAGAATGACTACTTCATCACGGAGGAAAACGTCGGAATGTTGAAATTGGCCAAGGAAGCCAACTCCATCATGGTAATTCTTCCTTCCTAACCGATTACCCTCTCCTTTAATCCAAATCATTTCAACCCGGACCAGACATTTCCCCGAAATTTAACTGTTTCCTCTCTGTGGGGCATTTTTTGTCGAACAGTTCGACTACAGAATCCCGCTGCCAAGCACCTGCAGCGCTGGAGCAGCAGCAGCAGCAGCACACAACCCAATCCGCATGAACGGCCTGCCGATCAGCGTCTACGCCCCGGAGACCGTGGGCTGCACGGTGGTGGACAGGCAAGGCCGATGCGCCGCCGCCACGTCAACCGGCGGCCTGATGAACAAGAAGATCGGGCGGAGCGGGGACTCGCCGCTGATCGGTTCGGGCACCTACGCAGGGAAGCTCTGCGGCGTGTCGTGCACAGGGGAAGGCGAGGCCATCATCCGAGCCACCCTGGCGCGCGACGTGGCGGCGGTGATGGAGTACAAGGGGCTCGGCCTCCAAGCCGCCGTGGACTTCGTCATCAAGGAGCGGCTGGACGAAGGGAAAGCCGGGCTGATCGCGGTTTCGAACAAGGGCGAAGTGGCGTGTGGGTTCAATGCCAACGGGATGTTCAGAGGGTGCGCCACTGAAGATGGGTTCATGGAAGTTGGGATCTGGTAAACTAAAAATCAAAACTTTGCAACAAAAAAGATGCAATCTTTAGGGGTTTTGATGGATGGGTCTCTCTGTAACTTAGTAATCAATTAGTCTCCCTCTCTTATGTGTCGCCTTTGATGATCTAAAGCGGGCGCGTTAGTTAGCGTGTCAATAATGTGGAGGGAGGAAGTTCTCTATCTCTATTGTGCTTTGGTTGGATTGTAATCTTCTTCATTGGGTTTCCGATCAATTGTGTATTTCTGCCCCCAATTTACTGATGTTAATACTAAGGCGGTGCAGCCTCTACCTTCATCTCCGTTGCAAGCTTTCATGGTCACAACTCTGGAGATAATAGTCCGATTAAACTGTTTTCTTAAGTATATTACAAACAAAAACAGAGCTTCAAATTAACAAAAGGGTGGTTTTGTGAAAGTCACTGAGGAGGGTCTGTTGTGCCTGGCTGCTGCGGTTTGCCTTTGCCCATGATGGCTTCCTTGGCAGACTTGAAGGTGTTTGAAACTGCAGCGGTGGCACTCGCCAGCACGCCTGGTCTTTCGCCGGAGTCCTTTTTACGCAGATGGACCACGCCGACCTTCTCTTTCCCAGCTTGGCCTTCTTCCCCAGCTGTCGACCGGTGGTCTACAGTCTCCACTTTGGTCTCCACTGCACTTTCCTGCCACGTTCAAACCACAACAGAAGGCAATAAATACCTAAGAGCTGTACAAGAAAGATAACAGAGATGAATGATGAACAAAAGCGAGGAATTGAATGTACTTTGGTGTTCATGTTGAAGAAGGTAATAGCTCTGTGACAAATTCAGTTATTCTCCAAATTGCGCTTTCAATTCGTGTTGTTATATATAACTAATAAAGTGGGTACATAGTGTGATTCATCATATTTTTGGGCATTCTTTGGCGACTAGCAGCGGCCACCGGACACGTGCTAAGTGCCGTGGCTTTGTGTTATCAGTTAGGCAGACACCTCACCATGTTTGCCTTTCCAGTTTCATTACACCTCACCTTACCAGCATGATCTGCGAGATCAATCCAGGCTCGCTCGTAACATCATTAAAGAAATTAGAATGTCCTATTCTGATCATCGCACATATCGCCTTTGATGGGTACCTGGATCAGGGGAAGGGAGGGATATTTATTTGATTGGGGGTGCTGTTGTGTTTGGGTGATGAGAAAAAGAGGAAGCTAGGCGTTTTATGGTGGAATTTGGTGGTGTTATGGGGGGTGTGATGAAAGGAACAGAAGAGATGTGGAGGGTTTGGAGTTTGGAATAATATTGTGAAACCGTATTGAAAGTTATAATGAAGAACTAATAAGAGGAATTTGTACTAAGATTCTGGATGAACCGTAATTTAATCATTTCGTATCGCTAAAACCACTTACATTTTTGCGGAAGCTGCGGGTTCGAGCCCCGCCAGTACTCCCGGTGGATCCAAATCCAATCGAGTACCCTATCTTTCCCAGTAGTCCATACACAAATGGCCTCTTACTTTGTTCGAGCTACTTCGTTCCTCGCATAGCAAGAGTTGAGAGCCACGAGACAGCAGTAAAGAAAAGCCGAGTAGGGAGAGGGCCACGAGTGCAGGAAAATAAGACGATGCCGAGAAGACGTAGTAAATATTAAATAAATAAGATGTAAGGAGTATACTTCTATTGCTTCATTATAAGGTACCAGCTGGGTATAAAACCCTTTCTATTTAGCTGTATAAGCCTTTTCTTTCTTTAGCATCCCGCCCTGACTAGCAGCACAACCGCCCTGCACAGCATCCCGCTCTGACTAGCACAACAGCCCGCCCTCACGGTTTTCCAACAGACCGCCCCCTTCCCTCCATTGCTTACGGAGACGTCAAATCCAGAGAAAGTTCTAGGCCCTGACGTGGGTTGCATCAATGTTAGCATAAAAGACTAATTTTGTACATAAAGTGCTTTTGTGGTTTGCTTTTACTGTACCGCCTAATGATGATGTCCACTCCTGGCTATCAACTTCGTGGGGCTTGATATCAGGATACTTTCCAGTATTTCCGTGCAACACACCCAAACCCGCTCGGTCTAATAGATCGTTATACCAAGTATTTGGATCATAGTCTCTTACCATAAAAAATGGTTGCATGCGCAGCAACACCAACTATGAGAAATCCATCAATCCACATGTGATGCATGAACAATAACAATTGTGTACCATAGTTAGTAGCTAGAAATGAATAAGATCGGATATTCATTATTTTCGATCAAACCGACCGGTATGATGAAATTTGTTAAATATTTGTTTGGCCTTGTGAAAGAAGGAAAGAGAGTGGGAAACTCGGCAAAGAGAGGAGAGAAGAGAGATTGAGCATTTTGATAATTCTATATTGTTTTTTTTTTTTTGTCTAATTCCAAATCACAATCATACTTAAGCTTATAATCTTCTTTTTCTACCAAGTACCATAACAATCCCATATTCCCCAATATGTCCAATAATCCCAACTCTCCTAAATATTCCAATGAGCATCCTTAAATGAAAATAATAATAATAATAATAATAATAATAATAATAATAATAATAGTAATAGTAGTAATAATAGTTTAATTAAGATAATAAAACTAATGTCACGTCATCAATTCGTGCTTCATTAGTCTGCCCATGCATTTGACATACATGGAACGTCTGAATGTGCGATCTAATTAGGGGTGGAAATCAGTACGGTATCGATATCTCAATACCAAATACCGAAATCTCGAATACCGAATTACACCCCAAAGTCAATCCCAATCTCAATCCCTAAATAATTTCGGTATCCCTATCCCAATCCCAATCCCTAAATATTTCGGTATTGCATTCGGTACTTCGGTATCCTAATCGGTATTATCGAATACGAAATTAATTACCTTTGCAATATATAAATTAGATTTTATAGTTTAATTTAGGGGAAATGGACTAGGCGAAGAGTCTTGAATTAGAAAATTATTAAGAAGAATGGAGGAGGGGAGACATCTCAAGTTCTTGTCATTGGTAATCTTTAATTTGACGAATTGGAGGTTGAGAGTGACTATTAATAGTGATGGAATGATCTGTGTATAATTAAATGACCCTCTTGGTGGTTGAGGGTCATGTAGTAGTGAATGAGAGAGTCTAGTTGAGAAGATAAAACACACACTAGCTTATATTTTGGTATTGATCGGTATTTCGGTATATACCGAATAAAAATTGAAATTCAATCCCAATCCCAATCCCAATCCCAAGAAATAATAAGTGTATTCGGTAATACCAAATATAGACAAATTCGGTACGGTATTCGGTATATCCCAAATACCGGTACCAAACTTCCAGCCCTAAATCCAATGATCTTTAGCATGCTAACATCATATCATAACATTTTAACTGGGAAAGGATCAGGTCAGTAACCCTACGGTGAGTAACCTTGAGTAACATGTCCACATCAGCATGACGTATGCTCTCTCTCCTAGAAAGTCTTTTATCGTTTCCCCTTTAATATTTAACGGACGATTTCTCTCTCGTTTTAAGTCGAAATTTAATTTTTATGTACAGATAAATCAGATTAAATATGCTCTTTAAAATGATATCAACTTTGATATATTTTTAGTACTAAAAAAATTGAATAATTTTTTACGAGTCATTACCATACGATATGCTCCTATTTAATACCATATGGTCAGAAAGCGTACCATGATGGTATGAACATACCAATATGGTAAGAAGGTTGAATACATGATAGTAGAAGTATACTAACTATCATTTACGACTTTCGTCATTGTTTACTACAAGTTACCACTCACATACCATAGTGGTAAAGTATGGTAATTTTTGATCCAGTATTTTTTTCACCCAGAAATTTATAGATCCTATAGATCATGATGAACTCATACTTTCTGAGCAAACGTTATCAAAAATGACTTAAAAACGAAGAAGTTACCATATGGTATGAAGTTGGTAAAAAAAAAGTTTCTCGAAAATTGTATGAACATACCAATATGGTAAGAAGGTTGAATACATGATAGTAGAAGTATACTAACTATCATTTACGACTTTCGTCATTGTTTACTACAAGTTACCACTCACATACCATAGTGTTAAAGTATGGTAATTTTTTATCCAGTATTTTTTTCACCCAGAAATTTATGGATCCTATAGATCATGATGAACTCATTCTTTCTGAGCAAACGTTTTCAAAAATGACTTAAAAACGAAGAAGTTACCATATGGTATGAAGTTGGTAAAATAAAAGTTTCTCAAAATATATTGAGAATTGATCTCATTTTGTAGAGCACAACGAACTCGTTCCATCTGTGCAAAAAAAAAAAATTTGAAATCCGTGTTAGAATGAAGAAGATAAGAGTCGATTAAGAAAACTAGGGGAAATAGAATGCCTTTAATTGACAACTCTTAGATCTGAATTTTCTGGACCCACTTAGATCTAAAGCTCCAGATTTAGTTACTCATAGTTCAGTAACCAATGGTTACTGACCCTATCCTAAGCCATTTTAACCAATGTTTGAGGAATCCTATCATACCGGGCGGTCATACCGAAAATACCGGATGTCGGACCAAAAGAGTAGACACTTTTGACAATATGATACGATTGAACTCCAGTTAAACTAGGGGGTGACAGTTCGGTTGCCGGTTAGCTACTAACTGGTGGGTTCAACCGATAACCCCCGGTTAGTAGCTAACCGACGGCTCTAATAATCCTCGGTTGGTGGTCGGAGTGTCTGGTAGGAGCTTCGGTTAGCCGAGTAACCGAAGCCGGTTAACCAGCTAACCAAAGTAACCGACCGAGGGTTCCCACCATAGTCTAGATGACACCGTTCCCCCCTCCCCACGACGCCATTCCATAAAAAATCTATCTGCCTCCACCAAAATGACCCTTCTCCTTCATCACCTCTCACCAATCCATTCACCAACCGGCCAACCCTACCCTTCCTCTCTTCCCACTGTTCCCAGTTCTCCCGCCATCATCACCTTCCTCAACACCACATCACCGTCGATCCATCGCGCGTCCTCAGCCGCCTCCGTGCGTGTCAGCTTTTGCCGTCATGCTCGTCCTGCCTCAGTTTCCGCTCGTCTCGTCTCTGTCTGCCTCCGTCGTCGAGCTCCACGCCACCAGCCAAACCTCCAGCTCCTCCGCCCTCACAACCGCCTTGCCGCAGCTCGCCGTCGTCGAGTAGAGACAGGAAGACTGACGACAGCAGTACTGCAGACAAGCACCTCGCCGGTCGCCCTTCATACCCACTTTGGGTATGCGACGAACCGAGCCTAAAATTGAAAACCAGTCGGTCGGTTGTCGGCTAACCATGAGTCTTTTCTCGGTCGGTTGTCGGATGGTCTATAGAGTGGTTCAGCTAACCGAGGGGCGGAGCCAGGATTTAGCATCCGGGGGATTTAAAATGATGATTTTATTTTATAACCACACAAAATGTTTTCATATTGAAATCACTATAAATCGAAAACATTAAATAATACATTTCAGTATTGTGTGGCACATTCTGTTTCCATAACTACTAAATGAATGCCTAACAATATTAATACTTATAAAAAATGATTCATTATATATTATCTCAAAGGAAAATAAAAATTGCAAATATTGATCATGTATCTCAAAGTGTTTTTAATATTGAAGGACTTAATTGTCTATTGAAGGACTTAATTGTCTATTTTGAAATAAAGTGCTTCAAAAAACTAAAACTAATTACTTAATTGATGTAAACGTAAATTAATAACTAAAATGAAAAACTTAACTATTCAATGAATAGTTGTAATTGTAAACTGAAGGAATTATTTATAGTTAGAGCAGTTTGGTATTTGTGATTGTTAAAATTGATGTATTGTATGAATGCATGCATTATAAATTGATGTATTGGTTAAATGCTTGCATTTCAAGATTACAATGTTTGGTAGTTGCGATTGTATTTTTAGGAATGTAGTAGGAAACCAACTTTTTGAATGAAAAGTCACATTTACACTTTCTTTAGAAATAAAAGTCAATCACATATAAAAGTTGATAAATGGCATAAAAGAGAAGAAAAGTTGATTCATAATCTCAAAATACAATCTCACCAAATAGTTGAGATTCTAAATCATTCATTTTGAATGATTTCAAATGTCACATCAACAATCAAATACATGCATTGTGTTTTATTTTGCAACAAAAAAACGATGCATTCTCTACAATACATGCATTCATTAAATACATCATTTAGATACGCATCTACCAAACGAACCTGGCATACCATGAAAAAAGTAGTAAACAAAACCTTAAATGGCATACCATGAAAAAAGTAGTAAACAAAACCTTAAATCTGCTGCTATCAACTGCCATCGAAACCACGACCAAGGGGTCAAAATAGAAGCCATCTTACGCTGCACTAAATAAATTTTTATGATTGTATCTTGCACGTCTTTTTATTTAACTAAACATATTTAGTATATACCTAATATCCTAAGCCACGTATAGGTGACTATCGAGATTTTCGGGGGACCGGGGCCTCCCCGAGGCCTCGTGTAGCTCCACCCTTGAGCTAACTGATAACCGATTTTTTTGATTTACGGTTAAACCGAAACCGACCGACTATCACCCCAAATTAAACCATGATTTTAGTACAAAATATTGTATTATTCACTTTTTGGCATACAGTTTCACAATTTTGGCTTTTAACTCCATCATTATAGGATTGTAACCTGATTACCCGCTGTGTTTCAGACTTCGGAGTGGCCAGTCTGCTCTGCTGAGACGCAGCTGAGAAACAGGCTCAAAGAATCAGAACCCAGATTCAGACACGGATCAAGATTTTACTTTCGGCTCCGCAAGTCGTCGTCGTCGTCGTGATCTGATGGGCCTAAGCCAGTTAGATACCTTATATGTCCAAGTACGATTGGGCCCGCTATGTGGTCTTTGTGAGCCCATATGTTTTCTCCTTATAGCTAAGACAGAATCTCATAATCATACCGGCATTGCCACCCGGTTGAACCTGGTTCAACATGTGCCAGTTATAAAACCGACATGACATTACCGGTATGACCGGTATGATCGACTTACGCATTCTAAGCAAAATGACATCATTTTAATGAATTCAATTAATAAAAAAACAAATTTATTATTCATTTTATGAATTTAATAGTTAATAGTTGATGATATTTGTTGGATTGTAACTAAATTGTCCACAAATATGTTTTATATATGATTAAATACATTGGATATTAATTATTTTCATATTTTTTTAAACCGGCATGAACCGGCACAAACTGGTTATACCACCGATCATACCATTCCACTTGCCAAACCGGCACAACTATATAAACCAGTTTGACAACCTTGCTCATAATAATAGCAGTAATAATAAGCCAATAACAACAACAACAATAATAATAATCGCAGGTGGATAGGCTACTGCATAAGTTGGTGCAATGAGGGCCGATGGCCAAAATGAGCAAGAAAGGCACGGGCCAGCTTCTGGCCCAGCTGAACCTCCGAGGTAGTGGTTAGGTGGAGATGATCTGCTTTCAGGCCCAATCCCTTGGCATCTACGCATTGCACGTTTGGAAGGTCGATTGTGAGTTGGGCTTTCCTCACTTGTTCCACAAACTTGCCTTCCCCAGATGCCACTGCAACCTGTCCACCAGCCCCAGTAATTACTAATTACAGATGTGGTTAATACACATTGTCCGTAACCAAATTGTATATGGTGAGCTCCATAGTGTATGTAAGAACAGAAGTTTGTGTATGTAACTGTAATAAACCAAACTTAATAATGGTTAATTACAATACTTAGCCTAGGTTAGGGTAGTAATCGGCAGCTTGTGTATAATTGTATATACGTGCATTGGCGTAGCCAGAGATATAATTTAGTGGGGTCCAAACATAACCAAATACGAAGTTTGTCTCGATAGTAAAATCATTGTCTCGGAAAGAGGAGGTTCGTGGTTCTAAATTTATTAACCCCACCTTAAAAATCCACCATTTTTAATGTATATTCATTTTCCAAGTGGGGTCCATGGACCCCACAATCCCTCACCTAGCTCCGCCAGTGTATACGTGAGGGTGTACTGAGCTGTAGAAGGGTTAACTTTTACGTTAGATAACAATATTGGATTAGTTTCAAGTTACAACCATCTTAGTTTTTTTTTTATGGAAGTTACAACCATCTTAGTTGAGGATACTACTTAATTTTATAGGTGGAGTCACGAGCTTTTGTGGTATTACAGGATAACTCTAAAATTTTATAGAAATATTAATATCTTCTAAAATCAGTATTTGATATTCAAATAATAGAGTTTCAAATTAATCAAACGAATTTTACAATACGTTGTGTCATTTATTTCTTAACAAACTAATACAATAATTTATATTTGCTACTGACTATATACTAAAAAACTCAATATCATAATACCATAATCCTTGATCTAATCAAGTGTTGATAAAAAAAATTAAGTGTTAGATAGAATATTTCCACCTTTGAGCTAGGTCAATAGCACATTTTTTAATCGATTAGCAATCAATATTGTGAATGACTTTCTACTTAAATAGTTTAAAAGAGCCTTATTTCAGGGTGTAAATAATGAGTATCCCCCAATATGAAAACACATCGCAATTGTTCATCAAAGTTTTTTTTATTACTTAGATATTCATTTTCTTATAAATTGTATTAGTTGGATATCAAAACTATTTTCTTATTATTTTGGGGTAAAATGGCACCCATTGTCCGTTGCTTTGGCTCTGTCACTACGCAAACCTCCTCTTCTTTTGTTAATGTTTGCGTAATTTGACATGGTAAAGTAATCATATAACAACTCAACACATGTTAGAATAAGAAAAGTAGTAAAATCCTCCCTAAATAGGCACACTGGTTTAACCATGTAAATTTTGTTTCATTGTACAATTATTCATTTTTGTGATATTTGAATCATACATTACAGTTTCAAGTAATTTTACATCAATAACTTAGTAGTCGATTAACATATCGTTTCGCCTTCAAATCTAGCTAGCTCCTGATCAATCCGCAATACCACGAAAGTCTTTGCTATAAGTCATGTCTAAATGACAAGCTAGCTTTCTACAACTTCAAAAAGTACCTTAAAATATGATAAACTATCTCTCACTAGACCATAAATCTAGTAGTATATTTGATATTTTCTCACTACTCCCAACAATAGTGATAGATTAGTAAAGATTAAAGGTGCCCTTTATTTAGAATGTATCATTAATCACTAGGATCAATCATGAGTTGAGTCTCCATAATGACAATGCACTACGAGGAAATGAAAAATGTTTGAAGTCACGAGTAATCACGATCCTAGGTCTAAAAAGCGTATTGGCCATTGCACGCCAACCGGCACCAATTATGGATGAATTTCGGCTAGCTATGGTTCTTTATTTTCCACACACATTGTTAATAGTTTGGTTTTAGGCATTTGGGACAGCCTTATCGTAACCCGCACTTCTTTCTTTCGTTTGCCCCAATAATGTCATGTCGGCCCTTAGTTCTCTGTCTAATGGGACAACTTTCCCCCCAAGAAATGGCAAAATTTGTGGCAGTTTGGACTCTGGTCTGGGACTGGGAGAGTAATCTTGAAGACTAAACGACGCCTAAAAGAATGTGAAACTGTGAAAGAAGAACCACATCAGAATTTGGTCTCATCCGCAATTCGTCTTATAGCTTAGCTTTTCTCCCTGATTGACATTTTCAGGTCTCTGTGAACTCTAATGACTTTAATCAATGTTCGGGTCATTTAAATTAAAACTGATGGCAGACAAACCAGGCTTGGCATTTAGCTAGTGAGTTGTGGAATTTGACTCGTTACATGGTTTTTTGTAAGAACATGCTCACATATAGTTGGATTTTAGATCTCGAAATCTACAGTATAGCTATTTGTGAATCACGAGATGTGCAATTCGATAGTGTAAGAATATCCTTACAAAACACAATGTAATAGGATAATCAGTTTTTTTTTTCAAATGTAATAGGATAATCAGATCAAAGTGGAATGTGTAGGTACCTTTTTATTCATTTATATACATCTTAATAATGTCAAAATGGGTATGAGTGATAATTTGAGCTAATCTCGTCGAATATTATTCGATCTGACTTATACCGGTATTGGGGCAGGGCATGAGTTACTCATCCTGACCTGCTTCGTCCTTTACCTACTCTTGATCCATCCTATGTCAATTTTCTTTAAAATCTATTTGTATTTCTCCTATTTCAATCATAGTGTCACCTAGTGAAACTTAAAATAGGTGCAACTTGCAAGATTTGATCTTCACAATTATTGAATCTCAATTACTCATTTTATTATGACTATTTTTTATTTATGAAGTGTTTTTTCTTTGTTTTATCATAAAATAATTATTTTTTTGTGTGTTTATTTTATTAAAGTAATATGTGAAAATATCAAAATTAGTCGACCCACCCCACTTTGTTACCAGTATCACCCAATCTAATCCCTGCTTAGTAAGTGATGTATATGAGAATTGGGATACTCACCTATGTGACATCCTAAATACTGGTAGGGTAAAGACGTACCCCTGTTAGGGTGTGTTATATTAAGCTTTTAAAATAATCGTTTTCAAGAGAAAGAAATCATCATGGCAAATGCCCTTTCTCCCCGGAAAATTTAATAACAATAGTTAGGCAAAAATGTAGAGAGAACAAACCAGGAGAAACGGCAGAGCAGGGATGCCAAGATCCGACCGCAAGTCCACTACCAGCCTCTCCAAATTCCCCTTATACCCCTCCGCATCCTCTCTACGCACCGTATCGCTCTCTCCTTGATACCACAAAACCCCTCGGATCCTCCTCCTCCCGCCGCCGCCGCCTCTCGCCGCCGCTCTCGCCCGCCGCACCATCCGACCGTACAGCCGCTTCCCCCGCCTCCACTGCCGGATCCTCGTCCCGCCCACCGCACACGGCACTAGCCCCACCACCACCACCGCCGACGCCGCCTCATTGCACCTCATGAGCTCCGGCAGCAGCGCATTGGCGAACGCCATGCCCGGCCCCACCCCGCAGGTCTTGTTCTTCGCCACGTCGATGTCCACGTGGAGGGGCTCGGCGGCCGGCTGCCACCTCATCCCGGCGCTCAGCCGGAGGATCGACGGGCTGGGAGCGGATTGCGAAGGGACGACGCCGTTCCACTTGCCGCGGTCCACTCCGCCTCGCCCCGCCATGTTGCTCTGTCCCGCCAGGATGAAAATGTCCGTCACATTACTTGCTTCTGCGAGAGGTCGGTCGAGGTGTAACGTTAGCAACAGTGACAAACAGAAGAAGAAGAAGATCAGCTTGGCCATTTTTGTTTTGTTTTTTTGGTGTGTGCAATTTTGAGGTATCTCGTTGAGCTACTAATTAAAAGGAACACTAGAGAGAGAGGAGGGAATGATTAGAAGGTGAAAGGAGGGTAATTAGTGTGTTGTTTGAAAAGGGTTTGTTTGGGTTCCAATTTCAGTGAGTTACGTGAAAATGGGGCGAGTTGGGTTGCTTTTGGCTTTATTTATGTCTTTGTTTGTGTGAGGAAAAGAGGGGAATCGTTCGTTTCCATTTGTTGTGTGTTATGTCAATTTCATTCATCGGAGACGGGGTGTGGGGGGGAATTATAGTAATGCACCCAATCATGGGGTGTGGTTTGAAAAATGAATGATGCACAGACAATGCTTTTTGTCTCTTTTCATGCGTATTCTGTACAATTATTTTTATACATTATGTAAGGCTGTCTTTATATAATGGAGCGTACCCTATCCCTTGTTTTCAAATTCAAAACAAAAGGGTATAAATACAGGTACGCCTCTGTCAATGGATATTGTGGGGCTTATACCCACAGGCTACTCATGTACATACATTATGGATGGTTGATGTTGAAGAACCGTGGTCTATGTTGTAAAGATCTCAATGCGGGAGGTGAATTCTGGATGCAGCTTTAATAGCAAACAAGCTTATTGACCCGTGGAAAGAAGTGACAAGTTGCGTTCAAATTTGATTTCGAGAATGCGTTTAATAATGTTAAACTGGAGGTGGCTTCTGAATTTATCCGAACCTACTTCTCTACCACTCATTTCTCAGTTTTGGTAGACAGGGAAACATATGGGTATTTTCATAGTATTAGAGGTTTACGCCAACGGGGATTCTTTCTATCCCCTTATTATTTGTTATTGTTATTGAGATTCTCTCTCAATTTCTCAAGATGCAGTAGAGACACGGGATGATTGAAGGATTCTACATGAGTGTTGAAGCACCCTATGGGGAAGTGACTCTGCTTTTTTGTGCTTCATTGGTTTGCTTTCAAGCTTGTAAGTTGTAATCCCTTGGCTTTTATATGATGACTCATCTTTCCGAAGAACAAGAATGTAATCCCTTGGCTTCATTGGTTTGCTTTCAAGCTTGCCTTGGTCTTAGCTATACAGTCAACCTCTAGAAAAGTGTCATGTATCGAGTTGGAAATGTAGGGAAGAGGAATATATTGTATGATAATTTCTCTCTCTCTTCTCTCTCTCTCTCTCTCTCCTCTTCTCTCTGAACCCTAAAGTCACCGTTTGACGATGGCGCCCGTCACTGACGGTGCGACAACCGTTGGTGGCGGGCGTCAGACGGTGTGGCAGCCGTCGGTGACGGTCGCTCATGGGTTCCACTGTTCGGAACCCCTGAGGATAACGGGTTAAACTATTATGAGCCAAAATTTGTTAATGGCTCGCTGTGGATTCCAAGGGAGGTGGTTGAAGAAGGGGCAAAGCGTTGGGTGAACAGTCTCGTCGGGCAGTTCATCGATCGTCCTGCATCAAATGTCTCGATTCGATAATGGGCGAACTGGCTATGGGGCAAGGATGGTGAAGTGCGAGTGTCTGGGATGGGGCGCCGATTGGTATTGTTTCAATTCCCAACTGAGGAATCTACGAGTGGGTTTTCGAGAATGGGTCGTGGCATCATAGGGAGAACTTGCTCTTTCTTCGGAAGTGGGAACCAGGGATTGGTCCTTTGAAGATTGATAACTCGGCTCTCCCGATTTGGATCAAGCTATCTCATCTGCAGACGCAGCTGACTTCGAAGGAGGGTCTGGGAAGAGTAGCTAGCTCGTTGGACAGACCACTTTGTATGGATAAGTCGACCACTCAGGGTAAGAAGGTGGGTTCTGCACAAATTTGTGTTGAAGTGAAAGCTGCTGCAAAGCGTATTTCAAACCTCAGTGTTACTCCAGATTGTTTGCCTGAAGTCTTCATTGATGTTGAATACTGTCACTTACCTAAAGTGTGTGAGAAATGCCAATGTTTTTGGCATAATCGTGCTCAGCCTGCTGAATCTTCTCAACGTGTTCGGCGGAAGAAAATACCAGTGATTGGGGAGCTCCCAGTTAAGGTCCCAGCTGCAACTGAAGGAGATGTTCAGGACAAGATTAAGGAGGTTATGACTGAGTCTAGTGAGCAAGAAAAAGGGAAGAATCCTAAGGCGCTTGTAGAGAATGCAGTAATTGAGGCTCATCTGACGCATGACAAAGGAAAGGGGATATAATTCCCTCCTTTGGTATCAAAGACTCCATCTCCTAAAGGTGGACTGACTGATGCTAAGGGTTTTACCTTGGTGGTCAACAGGAAGCAAAAGGTTTGGGTTAGTGCTGGGTCAAGCTCTCAAGGGCAGAAACTTCAGGAAGGGAAATCTCATTCAGGGCTGGCCAGTAAGGGTACAAGAGCTGCTTCTCACCCTCCTCCTTCACCTCCAAAAGGGAGAGGACGAGAGTAGATCGAGGTAAATGAAAATTCTAAGCTGGAATATCAGGAGTTTTAATGACCCTGATAAACAATCAACTGTCTTAGAGCAACTGAGAATAAAGAAAATAGATATTTTACGCCTGTTAGAGACTAGAGTAAAGGAAGAAAATAGTAATACTTTAGTAGCAGGAAGGTTTTATGCTTGGCAACACTTAGCTAATTACTCCAAGTCGAAGCCTGGTAGAGTATGGATTTTCTGGATAGCAGGACTGAAAGTGTCTCTTGTGGAAGAAGGGGAGCATTTCCTTCAGATAAAAGTTGAAAGTAGCAAGCATTTCCATGTAGTTTTTGTTTATAGCCCCAACAAGAAAACAAAAAGGAAAACTCTATATCAGGATCTCTTGTTGAGAAAGGAGAATGGTGTTCCAATGGTCTTTTTAGAGGATTTTAATGTTATTGCTAAGGTGTTTGAAGCATCGAATGCTCAAGTGCTTACTCAGAGTATGCAAGACTTTAGAAGTTGGATGTGTGATATGGAATTAACGGATCACAAGGTTACTGGTTCCTGGTTTACCTGGTGGAACAGGCAGAGAGCAAATCCCATTGCTCGCAGAATTGACAGGATCATAGTGAATGAAGCTTGGATGGATGTTTTTGTTGATAGTTCTGCTTTTACTAACCCTCCTGGTGTCTCTGACCATTGTGGGTTGATAATTGATACTGATCCCAAGTTAAATTTTCTCCCAAAGTCCTTTAAGTACTTTGGGTTATGGCAGTCCCATCCCACCTATCTGGATATTATAAAGCGAGCTTGGCAGAAATAGATTGAAGGTTGCCCTTACTTCATTTTCTATGGAAAGTTGAATCAAGTTAAGCAGGGGCTGAAAAAGTTAAACCGCTTAGTATACTCAGACATTTTTGGAAGAGTAAAAGAGGTTGCAGCTGCAATGGAAAAAGCTCAGATGGCAACTATGAATGACCCTAGCGCTGAATGTATAGAAGTGGAGAAGAGATTAAGCATGGAGTACATGGAACTTAAGAAAGCAGAGGAACTCTACTACAAATAGAAGTCAAGGGTCCAGGTTATCAAAGAAGGGGATTCGGATACATCTTTTTTTCATAAAATGGTCAAAGTGAAAACTCAGAAGAAACAGATTACACGCATGATGAATGAGCAAGGGAAATGGTGACTGATATCCATCAAGTAGGTGTTATTGCAGTGGAATTCTATTCCAAGCTTATTGGTACTGAGGACCCACATGTTGAGCATCAGTCTGTTGAGTTTTATCAGGGTATTTTGCAGCATCGTTTAACAGCTGAAGATGAGGCTCTACTAATGTAGGGTATCACAAGGGTAGAAATAAAATAAGTGTTTCATTCTCTTGGTCATGACAATTCGCCAAGCCCTGATGGGTTTCCCGCTGAATTTTTTAGAGCACATTGGGATGTCATTGGCAGAGATGTTGAAGAGGTAACGCTCGCTTTCTTCTCTACTGGGATCATGCCTACTATTGTTAATAGCACTATTTTTACTCTAGTTGCTAAGATACCTAGTGTAGAAAAATGAAGGATTTTAGGCTTATTTCGTGTTGCAACACCCTGTACAAGGGTATATCTAAGATATTAGCAAATAGGCTGGCCATGGTTCTCCCAAATGCTTTAAGTCGTTCTCAGTCTGCATTCATTAAGGGGAGAGCGATTAGTGATAATATCTTGCTAGTTTCTGAGCTTGTGAGGAATTATCACTATAAGAAAGTTACTCCAAGATGCGTGTTGAAGATTTATATCATGAAGGCGTTTGACTATGTTAACTGGAAGTTTCTTTTCACTGTTATGGAAGCAATGGGGTTTCCCTATGGTTTTCTTAAGCTACTGTCTGCTTGTATCACTACTCCTTCATTAAAGTGGCTATAAATGGGGGTTTGTGTGGGAATATAAAAGCATGTAAGGGGCTAAGACAAGGAGACCCACTGTCTTCATATCTTTTCACCATAGCTATGGAGGTTTTAGATGGTTTTGCTAGGAAGGCAGCCTAGGAGAATCAAATTCCCTTCCACCCAAGGTGTAAGCCTTTTTTGATCACCCATTTATGCTTTGCGGATGATTTGATGCTGTTTACTAATGGGTCTGTTAGAGGAGTTGCTGGGATAAGAAGGCTCATGGATGGTTTTTATAAGCTGTCAGGGCTAAAGTGTAATGCAGCAACATGCCAGTTGTTTTGTGCAGGGATATCCAAATGAGATGCAATATATATTAGGTATCACAGAATTTCCACTAGGTACTCTGCCTGTTTGATACTTAGGGGTGACATTGATTACTGGCAAACTTACGAGGCAGGACTGTCAAGTCCTTGTTGATAAAATTACACAGAGACTGCGCATTTGGAGATCGAGACTATTGACATATGCTGGGAGAACCCAACTCATCTCCACTGTGATCACTAGTACGTTGCAATATTAGCTGAATATTTTTCTACTTCCTCAGTATGTCATCAAGGAGGTTGAGCGATTATGTAATGAATTTATTTGAGATTCCGTTGTGGATGGAAGGCGGGCACATGCAGTGATGTGGTGGGACAAACTTGCATTGCCTAAACAGGAAGGTGGACTGGGTTTCGAAACTTCAGTTTATGGAACAAAGCGTGTGTTTTGAGTCATATTTGGGAGGTCTTAACTGCTGGATGCTCTCTTTGGGTGGCGTGGGTCACTAGGTACAGGTTGAAGCAGCGGAATATTTGGGAGGTATCTAGTACATCTGCTGGTACATGGGTATGGTGGCAATTTTTGAAGTGTAGAGAGAGTGCTTATCCTCACATAATAGGGGTCCCTCCTCATGTATTATGGCAAGGTGAGCAAATGAAAAAAAAAATTCTGTCAAAAGGTTTGGAACTCTATAAGGAATCGACCGCGAGAAGTGAGCTGGTGGAAACTTGTATAGTCTAAAGAGGTAATCCCCAGGCATGGCTTTATACTGTGGATGGCTATGCATAACAGAATGGTTACTCAGGATACGTTGATTGTTTGGGGAAAGCCATTGTCAGGTTTATGCCTGTTGTGTCCAGGTGGTATGGAGAATCGAGACCATCTTCTAGTGCCTTGTCCGTATACAGTTTGTGTATTGCAGCAGAGTTTAAAAGACTTCTCTCCACCAGCTATAGGGGACTGGGATGGCGTGATGACTTGGTGTGAGCAACAGTGGAGAACGAAGAATCCAAGACACTGTTTGTGCAGGCTACTGTGGAGTATAGCTCTAAGCCATATTTGGCAAGAACGATGTTCCAGGCTCTATGGCAAGAAGTCCATCATGCTGTGAGGAGAGTTGATGAGTATAATTCATAGCGATGTCTTGTATTGAGTAACTGAGGATCCTAGTCCCCAGGCCGAGTTGGAGTATATAAATAGATTATAGTTATAGTGTTACTCTTTTATAGTTATGTTACCCTCTGCTGGGTGCTTTTTTGTTTTGGTTGCATTGTTTGAGAGGCACGTCAGGTTTTTTCTGATGGTTTGCCTGAGCTTTATGCAATTTTTTATTTTACATAAAAAATGTAGGGAAGGGAAACCATATATTTTCTCTCACATTTTGTTTGCATGTTAGGTTGGTTTTGTAACCTTTGATTCTGGAAATGGTGTATTACAAGAATGTGTGTATTAAGATTATGCGTATATTTAGAGGTTGGGATTTTAAATGGTGTATTGAGCTAATTCATGTATTTGTGAGATTATGTCATTTTTTTGTTTCTTAAATTGAACTACAATACATATATTTGTGAGATTATGTCATTTTTTATACGTAGAATACATATATACTCATAATAAAACGTTTAGAATCGTTGGTTACAAATGAGGCCTTACTTATTTTCCCATAAAATTATCTAGTTCCACCTTTGGGAGTAAAGCCAAACTTACCAGCATTTGGGATCCTGTTATTGCTAAACTACACACGATATTATCGTCTTGGAATGCTAGGTTGCTATCCTTGAGAGCCAGATTGGTGCTACTAAAAAGCGTTTGTTCAAACCTCCATATTTATCACTATTTAAGGACCCGATTTGAGTAGGGAAAGGTTATAAAATCAACTTATTTATAACAAAAATAGGCAGTGTATTGAGAGTAGAAAGTACATGAATGAGAGTTAATGTATACTTCTCTCTGACTCTAGGTGGTATGAATATATTGAATTGGACTTTGGGTTTGAACTAATGTATCATCATCTCATGTGATACAAATCAATTTTCCAATGCAACAATGTACAATGACACTATTTAGCTTGTAGCAAAAATACAAAAAAAGAAAGACTCTCGTGGGATGAGCGCCATACTCGTCGCCTCCAGTCGCAATCACCCAAAGTATGTGCTTGGGTCTCAATCATGTCACAGAATGGGCAACGATCGTTCCACCTGGGGTTATGTGCACTAACCTTCACTCCAGCGGGGAGCGAATCCTTAGCAAACCGCCACATGAAGTGCCTCACTTTTGGAGGGACGTTCAGGTTCCAGATCTTCTTCTATACCGGGTCTGCATCCTCAACAACTTCTCCTTGGCATTCATTTTCCTTCTCGACCTAGAAACGGTAGGCTTCCCGTTACAAACTCTCCATTTCTACTATGTGCCCACAGTTGAGTGTCCGGTTCCGTAATATCCCGAAGTAGAATGCTTCTAACTGCTTCCTCCATATCTTTGTCAAAACAAGCTGCAAGTAAAGTTTGGCCCCATTGTCCTGAATCGGGGTCTATTAGTTCCCGAACCTTTGCATCCAGGGCCAGTCCGCATGGTGTAGAGACAATAAACCCCTCCGGAGCAGCAGGAACCCAGCAGCCCCCCATATATGAACGCTATCTCCATTTCCAATCCTCCAGCGAAGTCCACTACATAGGAATTCCTGTCCACTCATCAGGCTCCTCCAAACGAAACTTGGCATGTATCCGATATCAGCTTCCAGCACAGTCGAGTGTTTATGATACTTTGCCTTCATGGTTGTGGCTATTAGGGATCCCAGGCGTTGGTGTAGGTTCCATAGTTGCTTAGCCAGCAACGTTGTGTTAAAACCACGAAGGTTCCTAAAACCCAAACCACCTTTCGCCTTAGGGATCTCCAGCTCCTCACTTTTTATCCAGTGAGCTCTCCTCTCTGTTCCTTTCGCCTTAGGGATCTCCAGCTCCTCACGTTTTATCTAGTGAGCAGCCCCTGTGAAGCGTTGGATTGCACCGCCTAATGGTAGAATCAAGATTAACTCGGATGCGGGTATACTCCCAGGAGGAGGAGCAGGGCTAGGTGCGGTGGCGAGAGACTCAGAAGGTAGATTCCTTTTTGCTGCAGCGAAGAAAGTACCAGGTATATATGATCCAGAGGATGCTGAAGCTATGGCAGTTGAGCTTGGTGTGCAGACGGCGGCCCAACCTAACCTCATGACCCCACTATTGGAGATGGATTGCTTGAATCTGGTGACAGATATCACTCAGGCTGAAAGAATCAGAACGGAGAAGGGAGGTGTTTGCAGGAACATCCAGCGATTGATCGATCAAATGGGAGAAGTCTTGTGGCAATACGCACCAAGGGAAGCAAACGTTGCAGCTCATATAATGGCGCATGTGGAAACGATTTGTAATGAAAAATCAGTGTGGTAGATAGGCCTCCCATCATACTTTTAAATTAGCTAAAATTGGATAATGTAATCTTGCCTGCTGATTAATGAAAGCTCTACAGGTTCCCGGTACAAAAAAAAAAACACAAAAAGTGGGAGGAGCAATGGAGAAACATTGGTATCCAAATCTTGGCCTTGTACTTTGTACCCAACCCTACCTCAATTGTCAGGAATTGATTTAGAATTGTGATGATTCTTGCGATATGGTTGTATGGGTTCTACTGCACAAAATTTTTTGTATGGTGATGAATCTAAAATACACAAATAAGAAATTTGGGGTACTGCAAATCTACAATAGTACAATTTATTTAGAAATCCATATGTCAAATTCGTTTCTATGTTGTCAGTTGTCAGTTTTCACACGACGGGAGGTGGAATGGTCAATGGTGGATGGCCCTAAGAGATATTATGTGAATATGAATACTAACTTTCAAATTAGTTCTAGTAATTTATCAAAATACGGTAAAAGTCGTTCCCGGAAATAGGAAAAATCGTCCCTATAGTTTTGGGGACAATTCAGTCGTCCCCAATACGTGGTTCCCTATACTCTTGTCCTCTATTCTTTTGGGGACGACAAATATCTAGGTCGTCCCTATTACTAGGGACGACAGTCGTCCCCAATACTCGCAAGTCGTCATCTCGTTTTTTTTTTATGAAAGACAACATGTCGTCTCTATAGTTATAACTGTAACGACAATAAATCGTCCCCTGAGCATCATTTCCAGGGACAAACTATTGTCCCACATAATCGATTTCATGATTGTGTTGGGCTTATATGGGGATAATATATCGTCCCCATTTCTTTCTATAGGGTCGAAATGTAGTTCCTTTATATATCAAATCTAAGTCTAAAAATCGTCTCCTTAACAATTACGAGGCTTCTGCCAAATGGTATTTGGGGACAATATGATGTCTCCTTTTTTCTTTATAGGATCAATACGCCATCTCAATTGAACTTATCTATAATTGAAAATAATAATAATAATAATAATACATTGCAATTGTTTTATCTACGGAAAAAAATTCTAATTTGTTTGTACTTTTAATTTACAAACCGAACAAATAGAAAAAGAGAAAAATTACACAAAAGTCACAATAGAAAACATGTTTGCCGCTGCTTGTACTATCATTCTCAATCGTCCCCGTCACCGAAACGCCGCACAGATACCACTCCGGCGTAGCATCACCCGAGCAACATTCGCAATCTCTCATATGACTTCATTGTCGTCGGTGATTCTAGAAGAGAAAACAAAAGAAACATGTCGAAGAAAGATAGATCTAAAGCTAACGGTGTATTAAAGTCATAAAACAAGGAGGAAATGAAATAATCTAAATCCTACCACTCATGGGCGTCCATTATTGAAGAGGAGAACTGAGCGCGGGTGGACAATTAATAAGGAGTGTCGACGCCATTGCCAAGTGAGAAACGCAGAGGCTGAACAGAAAGGAAGGGATAGATGATGATACGTACCGAGAAAAGGAGAAGATTGACATCTGGAATAAGAGCTAGGGTTTATGTTGTTATTTAAACTTATATGGACGTTTGAGATTGATGTGTATATAAATAAGAGCATTTCTACTATGGTATATAGTATTGGTGCTTTAATGTACAACTTAAAGTTGTACCATAACATGAAATGTATAAGTTTAGATTGTACCATAAAAGAATTTGTACCATTATGTTATGGTACAACTTTACAACTTGAAGTTGTACCATCACATAAAGGTACAAGTTCAAGTTGTACCATAAATGAATTTGTACAAACCTTATAGGTACAATATGAAATTGTACCATAACATAAATGTACAATTTTAAATTGTACCATAAAGACAAAAACCTATAGCACCAATACTATATAGCATTGTAAAATTCCTCTATAAATAAATGGTTGAGATATCTTGAAGCCATGAAGTGTTTATAGATTTACGCTTTGTTACTTTTTTTGTCCAAGGAACAATTCGCATGCAAATAGGGAATTGGACTCAATTGAGGAATCTTATTAATTAAGTATTTAAGTGTTTAACTTTGGTTCAAATCCGCCACTACTAAATAAAGATTGGGTGATAATGGTGAATCACACGCAATCTTTTTTCCAAATCAATCTTATGCGTTTCTACTTTTCCGAAACTCTCTTCTATGGGGACAACTAAAACTTTCTACACATTAATTAAAAGTTGTTTTTTATTTGACGGGGACAATTTTACACACTTGTCCCTTATATTACTTAAGATCATATTTCCTAAGACAAATTATAATAGTCGTCCCTACCTCTTATCCCCAATTCTTCTTAATTTTGTAGTGTGTACTTTTTTCTTTGTAATTGTAGAACTACAACTTTGATATAATTATAGTTATAGTCACTATTTTTATAATTTTAACTATTTTTTTAATAATTTTAGGACTACAACTCCGAATTACTGTAACTCACCTACGATATGGCTACCTTTGTTATCCATTCAAACGAAAGTGATAATAGAACTCTGCCACCAGTTTATCATTATGTTCTATTGATATAGGTCGTCAGCATATTTTAAGGGTTGACATCATCCTCCAATCCAAATTAGATATTTATTTTCTCCGAACATATATAATTCCAATAAATAATACACACCCGCTACAACTCCACAGAGTATGCCATAATCATAAAGTTCAAACTAAAAACAAGCGCTGACATCAACAACGGAACTGTCAAAACCCCTGAACTTGCCGGCGAATTGCTGCTGCTGCCCTCGACGCCGCTTCCCCGGCTAGTTCTGATCGGAGAACTCAGGAAGTTGGTCTTTAGAAACGCGTTGGCCAACATGTGACCCAACTCCACCTGTGACGCCGTCGTCAGATGCAGTCCGTCGCGTTGGATCGGCAGCCCGTCGGCATCCACGGTCACCAAGTTCGGAATGCTGATTCCCAGCTGTGCTTCCCTCACCGTCTCCTTGTACGGACCCTCCGCCGACGCCAAAGCCACCTGAAAAGTTATTATAAAATGAAATTCATCGTCCTGGGTCTGTTCGGTTCAACCCAAAAACCGGGCTGGGCTCAAATTCAATTAAATGAGAATCTTTTGTTAATTGGGTTAAGGAGCACTTCTACTGTGCTATATAGCATTGGTGCTTTAATGTACAACTCAAAGTTGTATCATAACATTAAATATATAAGTTTAGGTTGTACCATAAAGCAATTTGTACCATTATGTTATGGTACAACTTTACAACTTGAAGTTGTACCATCACATAAAGGTACAAGTTCAAGTTGTACCATAAAAGAATTTGTACAAAAAGTATAGGTACAATTTGAAGTTGTACCATAACGTAAATGTATAATTTTAAGTTGTACCATAAAGACAAAATCCTATAGCACCAATACTATATAGCATTGTAAAATTTCTCTGGGTTAAGTTATATTGCTAGTCCTCGTACTATGCCATTTTAACAAAATCACATATTTATATAATTTTAAACAAAAATGTTTATACATTAAATTATTATTCTTGACCCGTGTTTAAGAATAACCATATGTTATATTTAGGATGAATGTCTGTTTAAAAGTCTTATATTTTGCTTTTAAGTTGGACTAATAAGATTAAGATTAATTAATTGTTCGTAACTCCATTGTCATGATAGTAATTTTCATGTGGTATATAAGTTACAAAAAATGTGCTCTGGATCGACCTCCATAATAATATATTGAGTAAAATTTCTAAAAAAATGTATAAACCAAAACAACAAATGGGCGTGTTTTTAAAATATCTGATTATAATAAAATGTGTTATTATCGAAAAAAATAATAGAAGGAGTTTAAATAATATTAACCAAGTTCAATAAAATTAATTGCATCTACAAAATTTCAAACTAGTCCGCAATTTCGTACAACCATATGAACAAACAAAAACTCAAGCCATCGGTCCAATAATACTGTACATAAAAAAAAAAAGAATTATTTCCAATTAAAATTCTTTGGATCAACACCATTAATAACAAGCTCAACAACTACCAAAATTATTCAAAAATAAGTAAATAACCGGCCGGCACCATAAAAAACTCCGATCGGAATTCGGATCCCATATATTACCTGGATAATCGGCAACGCCGGCAGCTGCAAATCTTGCCGCACATGGTAAAATAGCGTCTCCAATCTGCCCCTATACTCCTCCGCGTCCTGTCTGCTATTCGTATCGCTCTCCCCCTGATACCAAATCAGGCCCCGAAGATTCCCGCCGCCGGCCTCCACGGCGGCCGTCGCCCTCCTCACCATCTCGCCGTACAAAGCCCCGCCCTTCGCCCACTGATTCATGGTGGTCCCGCCAACGGCACAGGGGACGAGGCCCACCGCCCCGACGGAATCCGGGTCCTGGGTCAGAACCGCGTTGGCGAACGGCATGCCCGGCCCGATCCCGTTGGTCTTGGTGGAATCGATGTCGGCGTGGAGCGGCTCGTGGGCCGGGACCCAAACGAGGTCTTTGCTGAATCGGAGGATTGATGGGTTGGGCTGGCACTGGGCCGGGACGATCCCGTCCCAGTGGAGGGCGCCGGTGGCGGTGTTGTTGTGGACGCCGCCGCGGCCGGCCATGTTGCTCTGCCCAGCGAGGATGAAAATGCTGTCGGGGACGGCGGAGGAGGGGAGCGGCGCGTGGTGGAGGAAGAGGAGGGAAAAAGCGATTGCGAAGCAGGGGATTTCCATTGGATTGGAAAATGTGAGGGCCGGCGGGGGAGGAGAAAATTGGGAGGGGGAAGTGGGAGACCTTTTTCAACTGGATGGTTTCCTTTCGCTGTCGCTTACCAGACTCTTGACAGAGTTTACACAGTGGCGGTTGAACCTTCGGTTAGTCTGTAATGGAGGTTAATTTTGATTTAACCAGACAATTTTTAGATTCGATTGGGGATGAATGTTGGTTTAAAGAAAGATTTGCCAGAGTCTGTGATTATTTTTTAATTTTTACAGTTTCCAGAGTTAGGGGGGGGACATTCTGTTATCGGGGAGTGTTAAGTTAACGACAGGACATTCCATGTGCTTCTGGAGTCTGGACACTTGGGAAATATAATACTAAAAATTGACATGTGGCATAATAATTGAGGAATTTTGTTATATAAAAAAAACACACATGAAGTAAATTGATAAAACAAATAGATAAAAATAATTAAGATATCCCTTGAGTCGAGGACTACGGTGCGAGGGTTGGCATAGGACGATGTCGATGTGGAATCAACAAGAGCTACGTATGCTTAAGCACTCATGTCAATTAAAAAAAAAATGTCTAAGCGATGGAGGAAGCAATAACTATATGTTCCATTTTTGAAGACACGTCAGCCACGTTCGAGGAAGGGGAGAGCAGTTCATTCTGGCAATTACCCAATGAACGGTTCTCTACTATAGTTTTCTCATTTATGGCTAAACAAAGGAGCGAGGAAGTGTCAACAGAGATAAGAGTTTGTAAAACGAACCACCAAACGTCCAAACCCACATCTAGGTCTTTTAGGCCTTGTTCACTTTCATTTTCGTTTCCAGTTTTCTGTTTTCATGTGATAAATTTGGCAACCGAAATGAGAAAACTTGTTTACTTTTCATTCTGTTTTCTATTCGTTTCCAACTATGAAAACAGAAAGTGGCAACTTCCTGCTGTTTTCGGAAACGACAAAATGTTGTTTTCACCTGTTTTCAACATCTGTTTTCTCAAAAATAGGAAACAGAAATGAAAGTAAACAGGCCCTTAGTTCTTTCTCTACAAAAGTGATGTGTAGTTTGGAGTTCTGACCGGCGTCCATAGGATTACACGGCCTAGAAAGACCACCACAAATCATAGAATTAATATTAAAAAGTCAAAATGCATTAATTCGTGTTCAAACCTAAAATTTTCTAGTCAAGAAACAATTTCCAATACCTACGACCTGTAAAAAAAAGATGCTGAATGACTCGTTGTCGACAACAACGTTGCCTTCAGTGGGCTATTATTCTTTGTTCAAGAATAAAAGTAAGCAAAAGGGAAAAGATTCTTATTCTGGTCTGCAAGACTGCAACTTGCTGCCTAATAATTCACGAGTCTAATTATTTAACATTCATCATAAGTTTAATACTAGTGGATAATCCACATTCAAACTGCCCTACTTCATGTTATTTATCTTTCTGATTTGTCACATATAAATTATTGTTGTAATGGAACCAACAATCAACAAAGAATGAAATGTAGATGAAACACGTAATTACATGGTTTACTAATGCTATATGTATTACTGGTTTATGAATAGCATAAATAATTTTACTAATTTGAAGAGAAAGTAAAACTGCATACCAAATTTCAGAATTAGTTTGGATGCAAATTTATCTGGTCCTACGACCAGGATAGTATTTACTAGGGTTTCTCACAGCTATTTATTCAAGTGGCGAGGGATGTGTTCTATGAAGTTTTAAAAACGAATGTGAAGGTTGAGGTGTCTCCAGAGTTGAAGTTCTCCTTAATTTTACATAACATAAGAGAAGAAGCAATGCGAGAAAGTAAATCTAAGTTACTGGCTAGTGAAGGAAACATGTGAGTGAGGTGTCGTGTGGGATGGCTCATACCAGAGTTCCTTTGACTCTAAATCATGATCCTGGCAGCATTTGAACTGTTTGATCCTTGCTGGGTTTATTCCTACCATATGTTGTGGCATTTATCAGAATTAGTAGGCAACGATTGTGACCCTACACATGTATTCTTTGAGAAAGGTGACACAGTTCTATCAATTAATGAACTCGTGAGGGATGATCGTGTCCTGTCACATCCACCCACAAAATTGGGTTTGAGGATATATTCGTTGAAGATAGTTCTTGTCTCATGTGCACAATCAAATCGACGATAAACCAAGCATATAAATCAAACATAAGAAAGAGATGAAATTAAACTCATATTTATACATAAATCAAGAGTTTACACTTTACATAATCAAAGAACCTCTAGGGTTCACCGACCTCCGCAACAAAGGAACTAGCTGCTCATGGGACAGGTTTAAGGGGGAACATCAGTTGATACGAGATCCCCAGAAAGACCTGGAAATCGGCCGCCACACTAAGGAATTGGTGGCTAGGATACTATTTAAGTGATTCTGGCATCGATTTACTCCTCGAGTTTGGCTTCGCTCTAAAACATGCAAGTCACTTTGTCGACAGAGTAACGACCCTCTAATGCCTCCTATCATTGGTGCAAACCTTCTACCCTCATAGGGATCTATTTATATATCTACATAAAAGGTTTCATGGGAGGAAAAGTTGTCCTAATACACGTATGTCGAGTTCCTTAAGGTTTCTTTCAGCTTTACCACCAAGTTTAGCATATTCCTTCCGGATTTGGGGTCGATTTGGAGACTCCCAAAAATGGCGCCTAGGCCGCCATTTTGGGCTCAGGTCAACAAAATTTCATGACTTTCTCTAGTCCTCGATTCAACTCAAATTCGGAACTCAGTAGCTAGACCTTGACGTCCCTCGCTCATACAAGATGGTCCACTAGAATACTTTGACCTGAAAGCACATGAAACACTACCAAAATTACATTCATCTTAAGTTTAATACTAGTGGATAATCCACATTCAATATGACCTACTTCATCTTATTTATCTTTCTGATTTGCTTCACATGCTTTATATTTATTAAAGTCACAAGGGGTTACTGTTTCACAAGAGGTTTACAAACATGAACAACTGTCATTAAAGTTATATGGGAGCTTCCTGATTTGCTACCTACGAGTTTGTAGTCTTCTAATTGGATGGATAATGCAGTAGCTACGGGTTTCTCTCCCCAGAAAGCCTAGTCAAAAGCCTATAAATAGGCTTTTAGATATAGAAATCGGGGAGAGGACGAGAGGTCAAGGAAGGGACGTCACTCTGCCAACAGGGGTGGTAAACGGTTAGTCGATTGTCGGTTAAAAATACCAAACCGATAAAGATAGTTAGTGGTTAACCGATAGCCCATAATTTCTTATTGGTTCTGTTTCGGTTAGCAGTATTTTTTTGCTTAGTGGTTAACCGATAATCGCCTACTAGTATAACTATATAGTTTTGGACTTTGGCTACGAAAAAAGTTCCAAGATTGAAAACCAACCAAAGTTGGAATTCCAAACTTCTCGATTCCTGCCCATTGCAAACAACCCTCCAGCAAGAGTCTCAAATGTGTTTAAGAGCTAGAACCCGAAAGTCACCCCTCTCTAATTCCCCTTGCAGACGTCAGAGCGAACCTCACACTCTAGTAATATTTGTTTCTTTGATGTTTGTGAATGATGATGATCTTGTGGTTCTTGTGTTTGATGTATTGATAGTTCATACTCGTTAATTGGATGAACAAGTTTGACTATTTTTTTATTTTATGCATTGGGATTTTGATTTAATTTACGCAATTACGATAAATGTTGTATTATATTGGTATTATTTTCTATAATTAATATTTTATTTAACAATCTATAAATGTAGTAAAATTACTTTGAATGATTTGTATGATTATTCGTCTTTAATATTTTAGTACTTTATACTCTTGGTCATTGTCATGCTTGTGGAGTAAAATTGATGTTAAACGACACTTTTTAAATCTAACTGGGTGATGATTTGTATATTATAAGTGGTTATTGCTTCAATTTATTATATTTCGTGAGAAAATCGAAGCTATTGGTTTGATTAGGTATAACCGTACTTGTTGGAATGTATTTTAGTAGTCATTGGTTAACTCCAAAACAATCGCTAAGCGAACCGATAAAAAGTGGTTAACCGATAAGGCTTATCGGTTCGGTTATCGGTATGAGTTTTTTGCTTATTGGTTTACCTCTAACCCCCATTTCGTTTAGTGGTTAACCGAAACCAAACCGATTAGCACCGCTATATGCCGACAGAGTGACTCACCTAACCAAGAGCAAAATCAATCGAGAGGAAGGAATCGGTGCGAGAAACAGTGGTGCAGGCCCCTACTTCTCTGTAGGATTCACAATTCAGTAATACGAATCTTCTAGGGAAAGTCTATTAAGTCTAGTGGCTTTTTGGGGATGTGGTTTTGGTCTATAATCTCCCAGGAACCCTTCCCAATGGCTAGTTCCTTTAGTTGTGTAGGTATGTGAACTTTAGGGATCTTGGTTTTGTAAACTCGATGATTTGGTGTTAATACGATTATTTTACTTTGTATGTGTGATGCTTTATTCCCTCTATTTCTTCTTTTGTCAATTCGAATGAGAGCTTAGTCGACCTTGCACTCCTTCAAGGTGCAAGGATCGAAATCCAAGTCGCTTAGTATTAGAGAAAACATGGTGGTCCTATCCGGTCGAACTTCATTCGATCTAACAGTGTGATGCCTCAAGGTAGAAATCTGAAAGGTCCTCGTTGCCCTTTATTCTGACAAAAAATTTATTAATTACCTTTTTTAATAAATTATTTTAGGAAGTTACCAAAATAGTATTAAAGCCGAGCCGAGCAGCTCGGCCTGACCGGTAAAACCGCCACCCGGTCATAAAATCGGCTCGAAACTGTCTAAAAGCCGCTCCGGTTTTATGTAGCGGTTGACTAGCGGCCGAGGCGGTTAACCGTTCGAGCCGATTGAGCCGATGGTCCGGATTTTGCCATTCAGACACTAAATTTAATTAAAAAACTGCAGAAAATTGAAAATTGAAATAAACAAAAAAACATAGGGATCTCAAACTGAATCCTTATTTCCATTTCACAATTTCGAAGGAAAGAGATGAGATCTGATTAATAAATGTCCACTATTTAGACTGATAACGTTTATTAGGTACCGGTTCTCTAACGGTTTTTAAACGGTCTAATTCCGGTTGGACCACTAAAGTGCGAGCCGTTTGCATTACCGGGTCATGCTCCGGTTCGGTTATGACAACATTGCAAAATACATTACTTACAATTTTCTCTCTCTTTCTCTCACTTCCACAGTCTCCACCCAGATCTCTCTTTCTTATTTTTCTCAATCTTTTTTTTTGTCTCCGTTCAATCGAAATAATAACACTACAAAAATAAATAAGAATCAATATCAATCTGTTAGACAACCAATACCATTTCAGAAAACACCAATATAAATAAATTAATACCAATCCATTAAAC